AATTTAATTAATGCGAATTTTAGATAATAAAAAATGCAACTCAGATAAATAATCTTAAAATAAATTAATTATTTATGAGGTAAATTAATCATGTAATATTAAATAACTAGCGTAAACTTATCTAATAGATTTCCCTCATTCAAAATAAGGGATCGGGAGAGGGGGCTGTAATATTTTAGAATTTGAGCTATAGAGAGGATTTTAATTAGATTATTATAGTCTACCCCATTTTATTTGGTAGAATTATCTTTAAGAAGATTAGTTTTCTGAGTGAAATTAGTGCTTTGTAATTTTAAATGATTCCAATTGGTTTGAGAAAGTATTTAAAACATTTTAGCCTGATTATTTAAATCAGCTATAATTTTTATCAATAAGACTTGAATTATAATATTATTATTGTTAAGGCTCCTTATTTTACTACATTAGTAAATTTTAAAGATTGAAGTGGAGTTATTGTTCACCCTATATAATGAAATCTAGATCATTCTTGGATTTTTTAATTTGTTTTAGATTTTTCTCAACCGATATTTGATTGTGCTTCTAAAATTCATTTTTTTCTATGTTCTCTTATTTACCTTAATTTTATTTATATTAATTTTTTTGGTATTAAGAATAGTCATCAGTGTAAAATTTGAAATCGAATACTATTTTTTCTAATTCTTAATCTTCTTTATCACCTTAGACAGCATTATTTGCTTTATTTAAGGTGAATGATGAGATTCCTTGGATAGTTTCATAATTTAGAACTCCTTTACTTATGCTCTATTAGGTAGTATAGTGCTATTATATTTCCGTTTATTTTTATTAAATTTTTAACTATGGAGTTATCTCTAATTTAATGCTATCAAACTCATCTTCAGTTTTATCAAAATTTCCCTTAAGATTCTGAACTTATTCTATAACTTTTACTAATTAGTTGAGAGATGGGAATTTAATGTTAGATTATTTTTTAATGGCCTTTGTTTTTGTAGTTCTTAATTGTTTTCTTAATTTTCGGATTTCTTAAGCCATGTTTTTAAGGCGGATATTTTTTTCACTCTCGGTGAGCTTAGAAAAATTTACTCTACTGCTTGCCCTAACTTTCTCCAAAACCGTCCGATTCTAGATATTGTCTTCAGAACTTTCAAAGTTTGACTAGAACAAATCTTCATAATTGTCCATTTTAAGGCCTTAATATTTCATTGGCATGAAGTCATCTTTTTCTTGTTGTTAGAATGGTGGAGATGCTATTTCCCAATCTTTAATGTCTGATGAGTTTTATTGATAATTTTCTGCAATATTTGAAACAAAGCCAGTTATCTGTTAAACCTAATCGACTTAATTGTTCTATTTTGTGTTCTACATAATTTGATGATGATCATTATTTTCTAGACAGATAGGAGATATTCTAAGGTCATAATTTTGGGTTTGCATTGGATAAGTGCTCAACTTTTTAAAGTATTTTTAATTATTAAAAACAAGCAAACTTCCTCTAAATATTGCTTTTATATATTAAAAATTTAGTACTTTTTAAAGTAAATGATTTATTTATTTATACTAAAATTCTAAAGATGATTAACTTGAATATTTTTTTAGACATCATGGGGTTTTGGGGTTTTGGGG